CCGTGAATACCCATTTGCACCCAACAGTTTTCTTCTCCTTTGGCAAATTTATAACCTCCCATGTCCGATTCTTCTCCAGAGCCCTCATCTCCTCTAAAACAGCCGCTTTCCATTCGGGTACCTGAATTGCATCTCTAATACTCCTCGGAATTTCCACATGTGAGAGTTGAGTAACAAAGGCATGGAAACAAGGAGATAGCTTTTTATAAGAAACAAAATGGGACATGGGATATAGAGGATGCCTAGTGCATTCTCTAGTTCCTTTTCTTAGTGCAATAGGTAAATCAAGCTCATTTGAGAAATTTTCCGGGATTGGACTCAAACCTGAAACTTCTGGACTTGGTATTGAGGTTGATTCTTGACCATGCTGCAAGTTATTGGTCAATCCACTTGACTTTGGTTCTCTTCTTGAGAAAACTTTCCCAAACCTGTTTTCAGTGTTATTTCTTATTCTAATTGGACTAACACTGGAAGGAGCCAAATTTTCATTATTTAAAACATCTGCAGAGTTATTCTCTTGATGATTCTCTTCAGAATTTTCAGAATTATTTAAGTTTTGCAAAAAATCTGAATTTTGAAGGGCAAATTCTGATGAAAAATTTTCAAAAAAGGATTCACCTTGATCATGAAAGTCAAAGACTTTTTTCATCTCCCCCTAAAGCCGAATCTGCCTGTGTGTGCTCCCCCTGAAGATGAGGCTGAAAAAATGATTGTTTTTCAAAAAATTGCACATCAAAGGTGACAAAATATTTTCTTTTTTTGGGATCATAGCACTTATATCCTTTTTTACTTGGAGAGTAGCCTAAGAAGACACACTTAGTTCCTCTAGGATCAAGTTTTCCTAAGTTTACATCTTTATTGTGGATATAAACAGTGCACCCAAACGTTTTCAGTGGCAAAGTTGATTGAATTTTTGTTTGGGGAAAAATTTTGGAAAATTCACTTATAGGAGTGGCAAAATTCAAAACTTTCGAAGGCATTCTATTTATCAAAAAAGTTGCTGTTAAAACAGCATCTCCCCAAAAAAAATTTGGTACTTTATGTGTAAATAACAATGCCCGAGCCACTTCTAACAAATGCTTATTTTTCCTTTCGGCAATACCATTTTGTTGAGGCGTGTCAACCCAGGAGCTTTGCTGAAAAATGCCATTTTGTGAGAAAAAACCACTCAAATGTTTTGTGAAATATTCACGACCATTGTCACTTCTTAAAACTTTGATTTTTGTTTCAAATTGAGTGTAAATCATGTTATAAAACGTTTTAAAAATGTGTTCCACCTTCAATTTTTGTGTCATCAAGTAAACCCAAGTCATTCTTGTGTGATCATCTATAAAGGTAACAAACCATCGTTTTCCCGAAGGAGTTGAAATTCTTGAAGGTCCCCATATATCACTATGCATAAGAGAAAAAGGTTTGGAAGGAACATATGGACGAGGGATATATGGAGATCGATGCATTTTTGCTAAAGCACAAATTTCGCATTGAAAAAGAGATGGATCTTTATTTGAGAATAAACTAGGAAACAAACGTTTTAAATAATAAAAATTTGGATGACCAAGCCTTTAATGCCAAAGCATAATGTCATTCTTACTAGAACTAGAAATAACACC